TTTCATAGCAAATGCTTATTTACCAACTTTGCTCTTTCTTAGACTCTTCAGAAAAAGTCTGATGAGGCTTTATAATGCACACTAACTTAGCACAGTGCTCAGACAGCCTCAAAATTACAGAAATCCTCCAGCTTTAGTCTTTTTCTGAAGTGCTGGCATTGCAGGCATAAGCCACAATGTCCAATTATGAACAAGTGTTTTTCAATGTCTTATTTACCCTTTGCCACTAACTTGAGTACATGAACCGTTAATGTCTTTGCATCTGTCCACACAGTTCAACAGAGCTCTCTCCTATATATGAAGTAAATTTTGGTTATATTGGATAGCAAAGGGAAAATACTAACCAAATTTATAACTGTGTTTCCAATAATAATTTCATAAATGGTTCAAACAAAACTAGAACTTGACATAAAAGGCATGGATATGATGGAAATGAATACAAGGTGAGTTCAGGCACTGTGTTTTACAAGCAGGTGGACGTGTTATTAGAGATCTGAGTATAAGTCATGGAGCCATCAAGATGGCTCAGTTCATAGAAACTCTTGATACTAAACCTGATAACATGAGTCCAGTCTCTGGAACCCACATACTGGAAAGAAAGAACTGACTTCCATGGGTTGTCTCTGACATCTCCATGCTGACTGTGGTATGTTTACCCCTGTCAACACAATATATAAAATGTAAAAGAAGGAAGGAAGGAGAAGAGGAGGAGGAGGGAGAAAAGGAGAAGAAGAATAAGACATTATAAATGGAGAGGTTTTGCCAGGTTTTGGAGCAAATTCTAGTGTGGTCTAATGATAAATTGCTAGTATTGCTAATGCCAACATTTAGTCTGCAATATTGAATTTTAGGAGAGAGTTCATGAAGCAAGTCATTTACCCAATAACTTGCCTTTCCTGAGTACATTTCTGTTTTATGCTTCTTATACACTTCACATATCTATCAAATTTTCTCCTATGGTCATACTGATTGCAACTCTTTCTGCTTCAGTCCTTAAAGCATTAATTCTTGCTTTTCTGTTCTCTGTCTATAATGTCTTTGGTTCCTCTCCATCTGATTTTCAAGGCTTCCCTTTTGTGATCTGTCTTGGTGGGTGTAACCTGTTCCTTGGATGAGCTCCCTGCCCCCATCTCTGTGGCTTCTGCCTGGTATCAGTGAGATCTCACATGTGAAGCAATTTCCTGTTTGCCAGTTGAGGTCTTCTACTTTATACCACTGTGGAGTCCAGGTCACAAGGTGGTTTCCTGCTTTGCTTCTAGAAGCTAATGTTGTTAACTATTATCAAATGGAGTATGGACAGCCTGGTACTCTGTTTTTCCATGAGAACAGCTGAGTTCTTTTTCCCATGCCTAGAACAAATGGGGTAAACCCCCAAGATGGTGTAGAACAGTCAGCATGTTTGGATATTTTGACACTGGCTGCTTGTCTTTACCTTTGTCCTAGAATCAGGACACTACATGGGTTTGTCTGTTCCCAAAGAGAAACAAATCACCATCTTTTACTCAGGAAAAAATCAGAGGAGGAAAACATTGGAGTTATCGGGTACTAACTGGCTAAATATGTTTTCTTTCTGAATCTTCTTATTTTTCTTCATTGGTTCTGATCTCTCCTGGGCTGTTGCTTGTTTTTATGAAACAGGGTCTCATTATGTATTCTTGACTGGTCTCAAACTCACTATATTAATAGACTGGCCTCAAAACTATAGAAACCTGCTCGCTCCTGACTTCTGAGCGCTGAGATTAAAGGCATATGCTTCCACACCTGGCATCTTTTAGACTTTCATTTCTAACAATTACTTTGTATGTTAAGAACAGCAGGTCTGATTGGTGAACATTCTAAGAAAAAGAAGGAGGAGAAGGAAAAGGAGAAGGAAGAGGAGGAGGAGGAGGAGGAGGAGGAGGAGGAGGAGGAGGAGAAGGAGAAGGAGAAGGAGAAGGAGAAGGAGAAGGAGAAGGAGAAGAAGAAGAAGAAGAAGAAGAAGAAGAAGAAGAAGAAGAAGAAGCAGCTAAGAAAAAGACTCCTTGGTTCTTCCCATAGCACTGTGTGGTGGATTCTGAGATAAAGGCCCAAAGTATTATCAACACAGCCAGGTCAATACACCAGGATAGATACTGCAGATTCCCACCCACCCTCTTTCTGTTTCTCTTTCCTGCTGTTATAAGCACTTTGAACCAAGATGTTAATTCATTAGACTTCTGTTCATGTGGGTGTGCTAATGCTTTAATAAAGACCCTTCTACTACTGGTCTCTGAGTAACTTTAAAATTTTTATTATTATTTTTTAAAAGAAAACAAGCTTTTAAAAATTTTATATACAAACCCCAGTTCCCACTCCTTCCATTCCCTCCACCTACCCCTTCACCTACCCCCACATTCACTCCTCATAGATGGTAAGGCACATTGCTTTGAGGAAGGTCCAAGGCCCTCCCTACTATATCTAGGTTGAGCAAGGAGTCCATCCAAAGAGAATAGGTTTCAAAAAAGCCAGTAGATGCAGTAGGGGTAAATCCTGGTGCTACCTCCAGTGGGCCCGCAGTCTGCCCCATCTATACATCTGTCACCCACATTCAGAGGGACTAGTTAGGACCTGTGCTGTTTCCTTCCCTGTCCAGCTGGAGTTGGTGAGCTCCCATTAGCTCAGGTAAACTGTTTCACTGGATGTCTCCATCATGGTCTTGACATCTTCGCTCATATTCTCACTCTTCCCACTCTTCAACTGGACTCTGGGAACTCAGTCCAGTGCTCTGCTGTGGGTTTCTGCCTCTGTTTCCACTTTGGCATCTGCAGACCTTAGCAGGCCCTGCACCTCTGTGATAGACAGAGGACATAAATGATCAGGGTCAATTCTATTCCAGTCGTTCCATGGAACAACTGGTGGGAAACTGATTGTCAAGTGAATGCTTTCTCTCTTGATTTGGGGCTATAAGAATCCCTAACATCCCAGGACAGCTTCTTCACATAATATTGGAAATTTGGGTAAAGATTTAAACTGTTCTAATTATTGTGAAGATATGTCACTATGGCTGATTTAATAAAGAGTTGAATGGGCATTAGCTAGTCAGAAAGAGGCTAGGAAGGACTTCCTGGACAAAGGGGTTTCTGGAAAGAGAAAGGAGGCGTCACCAGCAAGACATTGAGGAAGCAGAACGGTGCATGCAGAGTAAAGGTAACCACGTAAAAGAGCATAAGATGAAATCATGGGTTAATTTAAGTTAAAAGAACTGGTTAGGAACAAGCACAAGTTAAGGCCAAGGTTTCATAATTAATAATGTCTCTAGGTCATTACTGGGGAACCAATGATCCTGTAGAAAAGTACCGACTACATCTCATGGCAACCGCCTTCATGCCTGTGACTCACTTGTCTGGAGAGCTTATCTATTCAAACATAACCACAGCGTGTTAAGTCGGCTTTCCCCTAGCCACAGTGGGATCTGTTTACATTTCAACATTAACTCAACTTCCTGACCAAGTATAACAACACTCTCTGCATGAAACTGGAGGTGACTAATACAGAAATATGTCTGGAACATTTGAACGCCTTATTTTTTTTTCTCTTGTGAGTTTAAGACTGACTTTTGTTAATTATTCAATGAAATACAACCCCTCTCCTGGCTCCCCTGCATCCTAAAACACTGCTGCTAGCGAATAATTGCCCTTAGTCTCTAGTATCCCTTTTTTTGTAATTTCTGTTTTACTTTTCAGGTTATGTGTGAAAAATTCTTAAGGAGCGAGTTGAAGTTATTTTCTTTAAAAAAAAAATAACAGGGTGGCTCTATTGCACAATGGATTCACACTAGACTCATAAAATGAAGTGTTGCAGGTAGACTCTTCTTTACCTTGGACTTCAGATTCATTTGACTGAACATATTATTAGCTAGACATTGGGCTGTAAGCTTAAATGAAGGCTCTTGTGTGGCTGCAGATGCTTCATGGATGATTGTATCCACCCTCTCCTTAGAGGTAAAGATAGCAAGGATCCTTGCTGCTACTCTCTAAAGTGTGGGTCTTATTTGTTATTCCTTGCATAAACTTGTGGCCTTTGGGGATATTCCCCATTCAAGTGATACCTAAGCTAAATCTCATGTTTCTAATGAGTCACGAAAAAGTTTTAAAACAGACATCTAAGGCTCCTCACATTTGCTATAATCTCTTAGAAAGCCAGGTCCTATGGTTGCTTTTCTGTTGCTATCTCCCATTTTACTTACGTATAGATTTTTTTTACCTGTCTATTGGTTTAGAGTTTTTTTATGCTGCAGCATATTAAACAACAATATCATCAAACGTTCTACTTTTATATTTATCCTTATTTTCTGTGCGAGTGCTTGTCTTCATGCTTGTATGTAAACCATGTGCATGAAGGTGCCTGCAGGAGTCAGAAGAAAGTGTTGGATCCTTTGGAACTGGGGTCACAGATGGCGTGAGCTCTCCTGTAGGTGTTGAGAATGGCACCCAGTGCTCTTCACGTCTGAGCTCACTTCTCCAGCACTCCTTTTCAAATGACAGTAAGACCTAATATGTGGCTGTCTTCCTCTATGGTTTCAGCTTTTTTGGGGTACTATTATAAACTACCAGAAAAGTTGTAAACTACAGAAATCTATTTCTCACAATTATGAATCCTGAAAATCTAAAACCAGAGTAACGGCATCTGTTTGGTTTGGTGAGGAGTATCTTATTGGTCTGAAGTTTCCTGTATTCTCTTGTGGCCAAAAGAAGAGAGAGAAGACTTTGTGGGTGTTTTCCTAAGAGACAATCCCACACACAAAGCTTCACTCTTATGAATTAAAACATTTTGTTCCAATGCTTGTCTCCTAGTATTGAAATAATACTAAGAGTTGAAATTTCAAATATGAAGTTTGGACGTGCACAAACATTCAGTGTATAGCATTACACCCAGTGGTCCCAGAAATTCACCTCCTCATTCATTCCACCTTAACTCCTTACAGCATCACCTCGCAAACTTCAAGTCCAAGGACTCTAAATTTGACCCAAGTCAGACACAAATCAGACAGTCAAACTTCATTTCTAGTTGTCACTTGTAAAGTGAAACAAGCCATGTCTTTTCAAAATACAATGGTGAGGCTGGCCTTCAATAGGCATCATTTCAACAGGAAACACAAGACAGAAGGGGTAGGGGAGTCCCAAGAAAACACAAAAGTCAGCAAGACGAGTTCCATGAGATCTTCAAGATCCCAAAGCAGTCCTTATTGCCCTTACTCAAACCGTGCCCACCCAGACAGAAGCCTGCTTTCTTCAACCACTGGGATAACAACATTGCTGGCAACAGTGCCGACTATCCTGTGGTTCTCTGCTGCAGCCCCATGCAGTCTGCTGTTTTCTACAGGGCTGGAGTTTAAACTGCCAGAGTGCTATGGGGCTGCCCTCTCCTACTCTCTCAGCTCTCCCATGTGTTGGGCCCATTTTGTAATCGAGCCTTTTCCCCCACATTCTAAGCAGATTGGAGAAAGGTGTGGATGACCACCTTGATGATCTTTGAGTTAGCGTCCGTTGTTTTATGGGACACCGAATGTTCAACTCATCTTTCTGTGGCTTGTTTCTGGAAGGCGAAGGCCTGCTGTTTTGCGTTGGATGTATGTTCGGTCTCTTTTACTTTTAGTCCCAATTTCTCCTGGGATAATCCCTTCTCTTATCCTGGCTGTTTCCAAGAAAGTTAATGAAGTCCTTACACTGCCTTCTTCATGCAGATGTATGTGTTTAGAGTTGAGCAATCTTCTGTGTAGGCCTTAAAGCTGGAGCCATAGACAGCACAGGATCCTCTCTGCATTTCCACCAATGTTAACCTAGGAAAGAGAGAATGGCATGTGACACGCAGACTTGGCTTGATGAAGGATATAAACATGGAATCTTATTTATAGAATTTGAATGTGGGATTTTCTCATCATTCTAGCCCTATGTTTAGCCTTCTTAGTTATTTTTTTAAGTTTTTAATTAATAATTGTTTTAATACAATCTTTTCTCATTTTTCATAGCTATTCCTGTTCCCACTCCCTTCCCTCCTTCTGCTTCCTTCACCTTCCCCCAACCCCAGCTCCCCATCCACTCAGAAATGGTAAGATTTCCCATGGGGAATAAACAATATCTGATATTTCACTTCGAGGCAAAATGAAGGTCCTGTCCCCATACTCAGGCTGAGCAAGTATCCCACCAAAAATAATGTGGACAGTGAGGGACAGAAAGGAAAGAGATATCTTGATTAAGGGAGCCATTAAAGGGTTATGGAGAAGCATAGTACTAGAGAAATTCCTAAGAATCCTCAAGGATGATCCCAGCTAAGTCTCTAAGCAACAGTGGAGAGGATGCCTAAATTGCCCTTCTTCTGTAATCAGACTGATGATTGCCTTAATTGTCATCATAAAATGTTCAACCAACAACTGATGGAAGCAGACACAGAGATCGACAATGAAGCACTGGGCCAAGCTACCTGAGGTCAGCCCAAGAGAGGGAGGAGCAATAATATGAGCAAAGGGGTCAAGACCATGATGGTGATACCCACAGAAACAGCTGACCTGTGCTAGTGAGAGCTAATTCACTCTGTACTGATAGCGAGTGAACCTGAATAAGACCAAATTAGGCCAACTGAATATGGGAGACAGTTGTGAGGCTTGGACAGTCTGTAGGGCCATTGGCAGTGGGACCAGGATTTATCCCTAGTGCTTGAACTGGCATCTAGCCTTCTTAACTTACACACATACAAAATAGAGCCAATTCAAATATTAAAAATAAAAGTTATATATATATATGGACATATATATATATTTAAATTTTTGTTCCTGTTATTGTTTTGCTTTTGTTTTTTGAGACAGTGTTTCTCTGCTTAGCCCTGGCTGTACTGGAATTCTCTAAATAGACCAGGCTGGCCTTGAGCTCAGCAATCCACCTGCCTCTTCCTCCAGAGTGCTGGGATTAAGGGCATGCACCACTTCTGCCCAACTCTTGTACTCATATCAGAAATTAATCACCTCAGAATTATAAATTCTCTCTCTATATACCTGAGTAAAAAAGCTTCAAAATACTTATTCGATAATAGATATTTTTTTTTCATTCCAATTCTATTTATTTAGTTAAAGTATGGTAAATAATAGGGTACTCCTCCATAGATGCATCTTAATTGTATGATTTTCCCAATATAGTAAAAACTAATATGAATAATAGATATTTTTTATTAGAACTAAACTTAGAATTCAATTGCTGTAGTGTTTTTTGTAAAAATAAGCAGGTTTCTACAAGTAAGCAGATTACCATTGTCAGATAAAATGGACTACAGATAAATAAATACTCTAAACAAAGCCCACATCTATACTGAACACGTTCTTGTATCTTGTCCTGATTTCCTAAATAATTAGTGTCAGAATTGTTTACATAACACTTACATTCCACTTGGGAATATATAATATGTACAATATATGCAATTGACATTATAAAATGATTTAAATTGTACAGAATTGTCCATAGTCTACAAACAGATTCTGTGTCATTCTGAATAAAGATGATGATCATTTATGGAATTCAGTATCTGTGGAGAAAGCGAGACTTTGGAATCAGTCACCCATGGCAACCAAAGGGTGACTGCACAAACAATATTATTTGTTAAGCAATCAAAAGTATTTGTAATATCCTCAACACACATCCACATGTATGCACATAAATGTACATGCAAATACATGCATACATGTGTGTTGTGTATGTATGCGTGAGTGCACATGCATGTGTGTTGTATGTGGTGATGTAGCGTGGTATATGTGTGCTCACACATGTTTATACTTGTGAATATGTGTGTTTTACTTTTCTCTTGACATTAAAAATTCCACAGTTTTATACAATAAATGAACTTTTTCTTCTTCTAAGAAAAAGTTAGAAATAGAAGACCCAAGAAAATGATGTCACTTCAGTGTAAAATTGAAAACTAAAAGGACAATGATTTGATGTTATCCTCATTTAACAGGAAGAGGTATGAAATATGATCGGTATAGATACAAACAGTTGCAGGGACTGCAGGGACATTTCTATTAGAAAATTTCCCTGTGGGTTTCAACCCAAGCACATTAAAGCATCTATTATTATTAATTTTTAATTATCACTATAATTGTATTTGTGAGGTTAACCTCATAATGTGATACATGTAAATGCCGCATATTGATCATATAAAGGTATGTAGCAAATCTGGGCCTCATGCCTTTTTTACTTCTTTTTTTTGTTTGTTTGTTTGCTTTTTTGTTTTTATTTATTTATCTATTTATTATACAATATTCTGTAGGCCAGAAGAAGGCACCTCATTACAGATGGTTGTGAGCCACCATGTGGTTGCTGGGAATTGAACTCAGGACCTTTGGAAGAGCAGGCAATGCTCTTAACCACTGAGCCATCTCTCCAGCCCCCCTTTTTTACTTCTTTTGTGTCGTTCTACAGTAGACAATAGCTACAGTAGCTAGCAATAGTTACTTCATAAATACCTGTAAGCATAAAAGCAGAAAGAAGGCCTCTTGGGATGGAAGAGTACAGTTTATTGTATGTTAGTTTTATCTGCATAATCCTAGTCACAAAGAAAGGCTTCAGCCTTGTATCTATAAAATGGACATAATATGATCTCTGTCTTTCTCAGTACTTAGCCCATAATCATTAATTTTTGCTACTCTGCCATTCTCCCTGTGCTTTAAATTTAGACTCTAAATATTTTTTCTCAATCTATTAGAATATGATAATGCATCAGATTGTGAAAATGAAACTGAAAAATGAGTTCTCATAGGGACAACTGAACGAATATCCAACTCAAACCCTGTTGGTTTGAGACTCACTCGTTGGGTGAGAGAGTGGATCCATCTTCCCACTGCCAGGAGCCATTTGCTTGAGTTTGGAATAGTCCCATCCAGTGGTACGACTTCACCAGCTTAAAGAAATCCTATTAGAAACCACAAGAAAAGTACAGGTGAAACCCGTGCTCAGAACATTAGAAACACAAAGCCACACCACTCAGTTCCCACTTGGGGAAGGATGCATTGTTCAATGACCAGCCTAATTCTCATTTAGCCACAGGTGCTGGCAAAGTATCTTGACTCTCTTAATTTTTCTGTGTTTGGAGGTGGTCAAGAGTTGTGTGTTGTGTATGCTTATGAGTGTGCTGCAGCTCATTCTTCATACAGAAGGTAGGACAAGCCATCCGGTATCTTCCTCCATTGCTCCCTGCCTTATTGCCTTGAAAGATAATCCCTCATTGAAGGAAAAATTCACCTTTTTGCCTATGCTGTCTGGCCAGGAGCTTTGGGGATCTACCTGTCTCTAACCCCAGTGCTGGGGTTACAGACATGTGCAGCAACGCCTAATTGGTGCTGTGGGGTTCATATTTGGTTCTTAAGCTTTCAAAAGAAATATTTTAGCTCTACGAGCCCTCTTTCCAGCCCCTACTTCCTCAGTTTTTTCAGTATTGTCTGGCGTGGGTATTAGAACATCTTCATGCTTCTTGCATGTTCCGGGTTCATGCTTGAGTGAGTTACCTACCTCATCTGTGTTTGCCTTTTCTAATCTTATAAATTATGAAACACAAAAGGTTGAGTCATTTATTCATATTTACACAAGCCTAATTTTGTGATTTCCATTCAGAAGTCAAGTCATTCTTTAAGCTTTTCTGAGTCACTTCTAATTCTAATAGTCTAACATATTTAACTGAATTTATGCCAATGTGCAATTTCCACTTTGGTTCAGTCTCTATTTTGAATTTCATCATGAACTGAGTGACTGCACAGGTAGCCGTTCTATTTTGTCCACTAAGTAATTGCATTTCACCAATGGAACAAGAGCAAACCCAGAAAAGAAACTACAAAAGTACCATTAATAAATTAATAAGTCCAGAATTGCACGTTATCTTTCCAATACACACTCATTTTATGAATCTTACAGTTAGGACACATTGATAGTGTTGTGGTTTAAGGCATAAACTTTTGACTAGGTTGAAGATAATACAGGGTGAATTCTGAAATTATCCTCATACAACTCTATGCATAGTGGATATGGGGGGATAACTGACAGGATGGAAACGTTCAACCTCAGAGAGATTCTTACTGAGGATCTGCCGTCAGATATGGAGACAGAGTTCATGTTCCTGGAAAAGGTGTGCATAAGATTGGACATTTACTATACTGATCCCGATCAAAATTTGTTGAGTATCTTGTTCTCATCTGCTTAGAAATGTTACTCTGAGAATTCAAACAGCTACTTTGTAAAAGGCAGCAAATGTGTGCCCAGCACAGCCAGGGAAGTTTTGTTTATCATGTTACTGTTAAACTTTCATAGTATTCTGTGTATTGGTTTGATAAATGTGGATGCTGGTGGTTTGATCAATGTGGATGCTGGCAGACAAGACTTTGATTTTCAGTAAAGATTTGTCATTTTAAAATTTTTCTCTCCAATATGAAAAGATTTGGGGAGCGGAAGAATATTACCAAAATATATTCAAATTTTAAAATTATTTTAAATAATAAAAAAAGAATTGAAAGGAATTAAATATGCAACCTGGTCCTCTTTACTGTATATCTTCAAAAGGGTAGAATTTTGAGACAAACACGAAGCTTGGCTCTGGTTCCAGCTTTTGCTCTCATTAAAAAACTGGTAGCAGTTGTTTCTATAATACAGCCAGTCGTCAGGGCATTGGGTACAGAAACCATCTAGAAAGAGAACAGATGAGGTCTGTGCACACCTGACTATTGAAGCAGATTTTATCTAGGCAAGTTAAACACACTTCCTGTTACAACTCTGAAATTCTAAGTAATTGCACCATTATAATATAAAGGGAGGAGGGACCCCAAATTAAGAATTTTTTACTATTTATTATTTGTTCTTTTATTTAAAATAGATTATTTTTATTTATTAGGTTTTTAGTATACTGAAAATTAATTTTTTCTCATACAATATATCATGATTACAGTTTCCCCTCCCCTACTCCTTCTGCTTCCTCCACTTCTCCTTTCCTCCGGATCCACTCCCTTTCTATCTCTCATTAGAAAAGAACAGGCTTCTAAGAGATAATACCAAACACGTCAAAGTAAAATTTAATAAGATGAAGTAAAAACTATCATTGATTCATTATTACTTTCAGATAGGGCCTCATGTAACCTTCTGGCTTTGAAATCTCTGCACAGCCAAGGTTGGCTGTTAACTCCTGACCCTCTGACCTTAACCGGTGAAGTGCTAGAATTAAAGGAATGTAGAACCATGATTATATCTTCTGCCCATTACATGGGCCCTGCAGTTAAAAACAATAAAGTTTAGAGTGAACTATAGACAAAAACCAAACATTTAACTTTTCTCTCTTGAATGCCTTTGAATATGTGTTAAATCCTGGTATACATAGGTGCCTTCAATTTGTGTTTAATATTAAAAAGATTCACTCACCTCTTGAAGAAATTGGAACCTCGTTGTTGCATAACACTATCAAAATAATTATAATTTTTAAAAGTTAGTAACTTCTACTGCAAACGAAAGTGACTTTTATGTTTTTAGAACAGCAACACTAAAATAAAAATGCTTTCACTATTGCTGCTGCTGTGTGTGTTTCTGTGCTTGTTTTATCTTTTACTTCGTAAACTGTGTGTGTGTGTGTGTGTGTGTGTGTGTGTGTGTGTGCTCTGTGTGTGCATGCAGGCATGTGTGTGAGGGCACCTATGTGCCATGGAATAAGTATCGAGGTCAAAGAACAACGTTGTGGGGTCAGTTCTTCCTCCTTTCTGAGGTTTCTGGGGATCAAACTCAGGTGGTTAGTCTTCTGTAGCAAATACCTTTACCTGGCTGAGCCGTCTCTATGGTTCCCGGTGTGTTTCTGAAGTCTAATCAAGGTAGCATATTACACCCCATTGATTAACTTACAAGTTAGGAAAATGGTAAACCATATCAATGTGATAATGAGGAAGCGTATTGCCATGGCTGCAGCAATGATTCGGGTAACGAACAATGGAGATACTGCCAAAGAAAAACAGGAAAAGTCAGAGCAAACGGACGTCTAACGACCCTGGTGGTTTTCTCTTTAGTATAAATGCTCATATGCATTTTCATGAAAAGGTAAAGGAAGTGCTTTTCCTTAAACAGCCTAAATACTCTACAAATACCTTAAATATGAGAGTACAACATGTGGTATTAACTCCCATGTTTCTTTGCAAGTTTTCTAAACTTTTTTTTTGTTTTTAGACTGTAGACAAATTTGCAATTCTCAATCCTCAGATCCTGAGTGGTGGGATTACAGATTATGACACTATTTTCTGCTCTGAGAATAAATCACATTTCTCAATTTCATTTTCTATGTAGATACAAGAGATATTACATACAAATTCTCTTATAATCGTCATAAAAGAATACTCTTATTGGATTTCAAGTATTAGTAAAATATTCTGCATGTTTTTGTTAGGACAATATTCTAGGATTGTGCTATATTTTGACATATAAAGAGGTCAAATTGCATATATTCTAGTATTCACTTTTATTGATATTTGCACAAAGTCTATTAATAGACTTAATATTCTCCGTGGATATTTCAATTGTATGTTAAGTTTCATTGTTAGAAATGGTAATATATTTCATACTCACTTTTGAGTTCTCCTATAGGGAAGTTTCTTCTTATGATACCTAGTGTATAAAAGGGTACATCCATGTTACATTTTCTAAAGATTGAATATTTCAGTTCACAAAGTTTACAATAATTTAACAGTAGCACAAATAAATTAAGTTCTTCACTCAGTTACATCTTCCTTAGTAGTTAAGATTATTTATGTGTTTTAATGTATAACTGTAGTGTGCATTTTTGTTTTTATTTCCTTTTATGAATAAGTTAAGTAATTTTTACTTATATTTAAAAATTTTTTATTTCTTTGGTGCTTTTCTTGTTTTTTTAAAAGTCAGGTTACTTAAAGTACTGACATACTTCTCAGTTGGCAAATATGAAACTATACCCTGTCATATATTTTGCGTGCATGTTTCAAATATTATTTATATTCATGACGTTTTCACAGAGAGGAAATGGCTTAATTTTTCCAGGTTGATTTGTTCAAACTTTCCTTTATGAGTCACATTTTTTAGATATGAATAAGAAGCACTTATAATAATGTCATATATTTTCTGTTATTTGATTCATTTAATTTTTGTGTGTATAGTATTTGTCAAAAATGAGACTTACAGGAGATAGTTGTTGGAGAATGCACGCTGAATTTTTCTGCACTCCTTATAGAATAAACCTGTGTCCTGCCACTTATATAAAGTATGTTTGTTAGCATATTATGACTCTACTCTATTTTCATTATTCACACATCTGCCAATCATCCTGCCCATTGCATACATGTGCAACTTTCACTCTTTCACGAAATGCTTGAACAGTTCATAGTGCCAATCCTTGACAGTATATTTCCTTTCCAGAGAAGTACGGGTATAATAGCACTTCCTTTGTGCCTTAAGACTTTAAATGAAGGACTGAAAAGCTGTCTCATCAGTTAAGAGTGCTCACTACTCTTCCAGAGTTCTGTTCCCAGCTCACAACAACCCGTGCTTGCACCACCTGGAGATTTGACACCTCTTCTGACCTCCATGAGCACCTGCACTCACATGTGCACACACACACACACTCACACACACACACACACACACACACAGAGAGAGAGAGAGAGAGAGAGAGAGAGAGAGAAATAAAAATAATAACAATTATTTTTAACAAAAACTTTAAAATGAGCTTTTCAAGAATGTGAAACTATTGAACTATGGTCTATTGGCATCCCAACAGAATCATGCTAACTGTATACACACACAAAGATTTTATTTGTAAAGTGCTGTCTTTATGTGTTTGAATACTTTCTATTTCCATTCTGTGAGTTTTATTCTTTGTTCATTAGTAACTTGAAGTAAGTAACAAAGTCATTTTTAAATTATTTATAATATAAAAGTTTATTTTTACTTTTAAAAAAATCTTTGTTTAGAAAATTTTCTTCCATTACAATTTGTTTATATTTTATTTAGAAAAGTAATTAATTTCAATTTGTGTCTTAATTTTTAGTCAAGTCTACATTCAAATTCTATTGACACTAATTTTAATATTTAGGGTGTATCTATTTGCAAGTTTTCAAATATCTTGATTTATAACTTTTACAAATATGTTAGTTTTGCTTTTAAATTCTGATGTAATCAATATCACATTTTTAATTTTTCTTGAATAGTAATTTAGCAGCATCAAAATAATGCTCAACAATGTTGGTAACATTATTTTTGCATTTTAATAATTACATTGAAAAACACTCCAAATACTTAATAATATAATAAGGGATTTTGTATATATTCTATATGTTTATAAATTCATACATATATTAACATCATTTATATTTGTAGAAATTTGAAGATCAATGTCTCAAAATGAGAATTTGTACTGAATTTTGTTCAATGCCTTTTCAACATCATGTACACAATTTCTTAAGCCTGCACCTTTGTTTATTACATAACACATGATTGAATTCATAAAATGACCTCTTTAAAATAACTTTTGTTAATAACATATTGTGTAGTCTTTAATATTTCTTTTTAAATAACCTATTCTATCTTATTTCTTGAGACAGTGTCTCATTTAACCATGTTGACCTTGAATTCTTTACTGCTAAAGATAATCTTGACCTCCCAATTCTCTTGCCTCTACTTACCTAATCCTGGGCTAATAGGCATGTGTGACCACACCAGGCTTTGCATAAAACACCACAAACTGTAATATCAGTAAAACTCTTGTTTGATAACAGTTTGAGTAGAGACTGCCTCCACTATATTCAAAAAGGTCTTTGAAAATTGCTACAATTTATTGCTTCTGTAATGTTTAAGAAGATAGCTGGATGGTTTTAAAATGTTCTTTTCTATGGATTATTTATAGATATTCTTCCTTAACTTGACTTTACTTTCTAATATTATTTTAGAGTAAATACACATTACTCCCCTGATAAGGTAAGAGCAAGCATTGTTGCTGACAATAGCGTGGTTTCCACATTCACTTCAGTCCATCAGGAGGAGACAAATGGAGTCCGAAACTTACCATTTTCTCTGGGTTTACTGGTAGGTAGTGCCGATCTTTGTTTCTGCTGCCCTGGAGAAGCATTCCTGCTTGTTGGCCTGAGTTTGTAATTATTGTATTTGCTCATCTCTGGAGAAAACAATTCAAGCTGACACAAGTTCATGGTCTTTTTGCCATTTGAAGAATAAGTTTCTACCTTTCAACATACATCCCATAAGCATCAGCATGAGTGTTTTTTTGTCTTTTATTATCTCATTATTAAGATGTTTATACTTCATAACATAGATATAATGTTCATTACTTGGAGAATTTGTGTTAACAAAATATTATGTGCTTTTGAAATAGACCAATTCACAATGTAAACTGAAACAACATCAAAGCAAGCTTTATATAAAGGAAGGAAAGAAAAGAGGAAGATAGACTTATAATTATACTATACCCACAGTTGTAATAATGATAAGCAGAAGTAATTTAAAATCTCGAACTTGTTTCCTACATTTCAGAAAAGTATCAACACATACCCTAGGAACATTATAACGATTAATTGAAGTGTGATGGACTTGATATCAATAATGCTAACTGCATCCAAACAGTAAATCGAAAGTGTCAAATTTCTTGAGAGTCAGGAACACACAAAGACCTAAACTGTAGGCTCCATCGTCTCAGAATGAATATGACAGTCTTGTTTTTGAAGAAAGCAAGTTAAGCAAAGACATTTAACTGTTTTCTTGACATTTCCATCATTGATTGAATGATTTTATATAAGAAAAGACATTATCCATTTTTTTAGGCTTAAATATTAGTCTCAAAGATTTTTTGCACATAATTCCATTATTAACCTGATTAAAATAGTACTTTTTATGTTGGGTGAAAAATATGAATATCTGAGATATTCAGCTTCATATTGTTCATTTAACATGATGTTAGTAATTATAAATGATTCATAATGATTTTGGAATAAGAAGCACTTTCAGAGTTTATAGTCCATGCATTGCATAGTCTAGGATTCCATGAGCTAATCCAGCAGTCTTTTCTTTTCTAATGGCAGAAAAGGAAATGAGAACCCGCAGAGACCATGGACTGCTCCAATCTAAACATGGAAAGCTGGGAAATTTGACTAAAACCTAGCTCGACCAACTTCAAGTCCTCATGCCCTTAGCCCTTCTGACTTCAAGCCTCATGCCCTTTCACTATCTCTAGCTATCCTGCCATAAATGACTTCATAGTAGATGGATGGTGAAGTAAAGGGAAAATTTCTTTCACATTCACAAAGAAATCATTTTAAATATAAGATAAACATAATATGAAATAAACACAGTGAGAATGTCAGTAAGTGACTTCTCAGGCTTTACATCGTTTTGTATAGACGCTGGGTTTGTTAGCGTTACAACCCAGTAGACTTATACATTCACAGTCACACCACATACCTGAACTGTGCTGAGACGTTCGATCACGAGTCGAAGTCATCGTGTGATGAGTATGACACATTTACTTCAGGAACAGATCCAGGTTCTGGGGTTTGTTATATAATTAATTAACTATTTGCTTTGAGATCGTGTGTCTATATGCAGCCCTAGCTATCCTAGAACTCACAATATAGACCAGACTGGCTTCAGATTTTCCAGTTTTACCCTGTGTCTGCCTCATGAGTGCTAGAATTAAAGACATGTGCCACCACTCCTGGCTCTGCTCTAATTTCTGTAATGTCCAAAAGACTCTTGAACAATAAGGCACATTATACAGGATTTGTTCTACTATCTTTGTACTGAGATGAAATATTGGACAAGTAAAATACAGAAAAAATTCCCTTAAATGTGAAATAATGAAAATGACTGTTCATCCAAGACTAGGAGAAATTAACTAACATTTTTTCTAAAATAAAGATTCATTATTTCTAAATACCACAAAAATATAATAAATATTTTTAATTTACTTACATTGAAATATTTGATAAAAATATTTGATTTCCTGATGTATAACATTAGCAAGTACAATTTTTCATTTATAATTTTTATTTGGTGATGCACATTTTTTGTAAGATAAATTTATGTCAGATACATGAATTTTTGTGATACATTCTCTTGTTTCTTTTAGTAATATTCCATTAATCACTATCAATAAAGTTACCATTTTCATCAGCAATTTTATATATGTTTTTATTGTAACATTTTATATTATTTATCAGTGTTCCCAGAGAGTAACTATTTAATAAAATGGATTTTAAAAATGGATATTATTCATATTTGATTATGATAATTGGATGAATTGGATACAAGTTGCCTCTTCTTGACTGTGAAGTTGTGTTATCTCAGAAGCAAAAGCACCTTCAATAGACATTAGAATTCTCATTCCAATGTTACCCTCCTAATCCACAAAAGAGATTTTGCTTAAGAGGTACAGTTTCTTACCTCAACAACACAACTTCTTACTCTTCAGTCCACGTGCCCTGATAATAGACACTTGATACTATGTTAAAAAAATATTAACACCTCAGACAGGAAAATTACTCTTTTCATTCAGCAATTCTACTTGAACACTTAGGCTAGAATTACCTTACAGTGTAAATAGTTATAGAAGTTTCCTAACTTGACACAAAATTCCCATTTCCTGGAAAACAGTTGTTAGAAACACATGCATAAGTATGCACACTCACAGACCTGGGCAGAGAAGGGAGGTCCTGTGTCTTGTGAATCAAAGCCTTCTACTCAACTAGAAAAGGTGGCCTTGTCCCTGGCAATAGTTTGAAACTGAAAGTAGAGCTATCTGGCTAATTTCTGTCTCTGAGACTGACAATGCAGAGGTGAGTCTCTTCTTCCTGTGAAGAGCACCACACAGCCACAGAACTTGTGTATTTCTTGTGCACACATAATTTGACTTATTTGGTAAATGAGGTTTGATCATAGTTTTCAGATAAATGTCGGGTCCAAAGACCATTTTAGAACTTGAAAAGGATGATTTTAATGGCAAGAAGTAGCATGGAGTTATACGAGATGGGAATGAAAAGTAAAACAACAACAACAATAAAAAAAGCCCAGAAAACATGGTTTTCAATGTCTGTTTCAAATTAAACAGGGAAAATGTTTTAAATGCTTTACTCACCCTTTCCACAAGCTTTGGTTCATTTTTTGTAGAATCAAATATTTTGCATTGTGTAAGTTGGAACCATGGGATCTAATGTACTGATCACGCATAGAAACATACACACATATATGTTATATGCATGCTGTGGAACAACCTTTTTATACACTGTGAATATATGTTGTTCTCATTGGCTTAAAAAGAAACTAAATGGTTGATAGACAGGTCAAGGTTAGGCAGGACTTGTGGACAGAAGGAGAGCATGAAGAAGTTGGGATGAGTCATGAGGACTTGCCAGCAGATATATTGAAAGTAGGAGATGAATGTGCCATGGTGCAAAAAGGTACCTTCAAATGATAGAATGTAGATAAGAAATATGGGTTAATCTAAGTTGTAAGAGTTAGTAACAAGCCAAAGCTGGAAATTTATAATGAATAATAAGTCTCTGTGGTTATTTGGGAGTGAGTTTGCAGGAGAGAGCTGACCAGTGGTTCCTATGAGAAAACACACACACACACACATGTATATATAATGCATAAGTAATAATATCCCCAAAAATGCTGATGATATATTTATGTGCATTGAAGATAAAGATAAGCTAATGTTCATGTAATAGGACTAGTGTTAGCATAACAGTGTAGCATTAATTTACAAATGTTATTATATTGTTAAAGATGAATGATTAGCAGAAACAACGATGTTGTTAAATGTACTGTTAAGCTAACAGTAGAAGCATTGCAAAACCTCTGTGAGAAAATATAAGGAACACCTGTGTGGAACTTGCCATGTAATTGTATAGAAAACATTAAAAGTAGTAAAATAAAAATTTGAGGTGCTTCTGAATATTTAGAAAGTTGTCAAGCATGATGCAAAGATGTATTGCATTTTTTAATGTTACATTTGTTTAACTCTGTGAAGCTGTGTTATTTTGCCTACCTAAAACACCTGATTGGTCTAATAAAGAGCTGAATGGACAATAGTCAGGCAGAAGAAAGGATAGGCTGGGGTGGAAGGCAGTGAGAATAAATAGAGGGAGAAATTTAGAAAGAGAGGATCAAAGATCAAGAGAAGGAAAGAAGGATGTTAGCGGCCAGTCACCCAGCAACAGAGCAAGCCACGGAGTAAGCAGCAAAGAAAGGTACATAGAATAGGAAAAGACAAAAGCCCAGAGGTAAAAGATAGTTGGAATGATTTAAGTTGAGAAAACTTGGCTAGAAATAAGTAAAGCTAAGGCCAGTCACTTATAAATAATGATAAGACTCCTTGTGTTATTTGGGAACTCGGTGGTAGGCTCTTAAAGAGCAAAGGAGTGAAAACAACCAACTACGTTTTGGCATACCAATGAGAGGATATTAAATATCTCTAGTGCCTGAGAAAGCAGAAAAAAAAGGTATGTCTCCTTTAAGAAACTCTGCCATATAGAAAGGTAGTTAAGCAGCCTTTTTCACAATTAATTGAAACAAAATACTAAGGAAAAAAAAAGTGACCGTACAAGCATTGGCATTTTATTTTATTTTAAAAAGCCAACATTTTTAAAAATTAATTTATAAAAGTTTCCACTTCTGCCCTTCCTCCCAGTACCCTCCCATTCCCCCCCACACCCTCTCCTCCTCCCTCTCCAGCCCTAAGTGCAGTCAGGGTTTCCTGCCTTGTGGGAAGTTCAAGCCCCCCCTCTCCAGGTCTAGGAAGGTGAGCATCCAAACAGACTAGGATCCCAAAAAGCCAGTACACACAGAGGAAACAAGTCCCAGTGCCATTATCAATGGCTTCTCAGACAGTCCTGTGCCAGCCACATTCAGAGAATCCGGTTTGATCACGTGCTCGTTCAGTCCCAGTCCAGCTGGTCTTGGTGAGCTCTCATTAGATCAGTCCCCTTGTATCAGTGGGTGAACGCACTCCTCATGGTCCTGCCTTCCTTGTTCATGTTCTCCCTCCTTCTGCTCCTCATTTGGACCTTGGGGGCTCAGTCCAGTGCTCCAATGTGGGTCTCTGTCTCAATCTCCATCCATCGTCGGATGAAGGTTCCCTCTGATCCTGCCTTCCTTGCTCACGTTGTCCCTCCTTCTGCTTCTCAATTGGACCTAGGGAGTTAAGTCCAGTGTTCCAATGTGGGTCTCTGTCTCTATCTCCATCCATTGCCAGATGAAGGTTCTATGATACCCAAGAGATGCCCTATCATACTACAAAAGCATTTGTTCAACTATGTTCATAGCAGCACTATTTGTAATAGCCAGAACCTGGAAACAACCTAGCTGCCCCTCAATAAAAGAATGGTTAAAGAAGGTGTGGAATATATATACATTAGAGTTTTACTCAGCGGTAAAAAACAATGACATTTTGAATTTTGCATGCAAATGGATGGAAATTGAAAACGCTTTACTGAGTGAGGTAACCCAGACACAAAAAGAGGAATATGGTGTGTACTCACTCATAAGTGAATTCTAGCCATAATTAAAGGTCTTTGAGCCTATTAGTCGGATCCTAGAGAAGCTAAATAAGAAGGTGAACCTGAAGAAAATCATGTAGTTATCCTCCTGGATATTGGAAGTAGACAAGAGTGCCAGGCAACCTTGGGTGCACGGAGGGGGGGGGGATGGAAGGGGAGAGGGTTAGAGAGAGGGGAGTAGGGGAGGATTGGGGAAAGCTTGGGGGATTGGGATGGGGCGGGGAGGGAGGAAGGATGGATATGGGAGCAGGGAAGTATATATCTCAACTAAGGGAGCCATTTTAGGGTTTACAAGAGACTTTATTCTAGAGGGGTTCCCAGGTCCAAGGAGAGATCCCCAGATTGTTCCCTGGACAGCAGAGGAGAGGGTGCCTAAACTGGCCTTGACCCATAACCATACTGATGAATATTTTGCATATCACCATAGAACCTTCATCAAGCGTTGGCATTGTAGAGTTCTGGAGTTTGAATTCAATTCCTCATCAAACAAACAGCCCTCCAGGCGGCAAGCTTTAGGCCAGGCTTTCATGATCCAAGAAGTGTGCAGAGCCAGTTACCAGAGTCACAGAGCCAGCTGCAAGAGTCATGCAGAGGACATAGCTGTAATTTAACAGATTAATGTTTGCTCCTAGGTGAAAAAAACCTAAAAGATATGCATTAAAGAGGTCCAGATATTAAAATACCTCTAAACAGGTCCAAGTGTGTTTAACCATGCCTGCATGTTTAAGAAAGAAAAAGTGTATAGATAGTTATTGAAAGAAATAAAGAGTTCAGAAATAATGAAGTCATAAAAAGAGTAAAAGTAATAAAAAATAAAAGCCACACAATGATGGACACTACACATGGAATTTGGATCATATATACTATTGTGTTACTTTAGAATTTTTTGATTGTGAGAAGCAAGCAACAGCTGCTGGTGGACATGTTATTGTGAAAAGGACTGCAAAGCTGAACTAACCTAGATACTTTGGGGGCTACCTTAACTTTAAAAAAGAGGTCAACAGTATTTGCCAGAGGTAAATAAAAACGCTTTGGTAATGCAGTTTTCCTTTTGTTTCTGCAGTAAACAAGAGACTATGGATTTGTTCCAGGTTAATATAGATCAGGTTTGATCAGGAAAGAGCTCCTGAATCTTCATAGGTGATATATGTCAATTAAGGTTACCAGTGGTCCTCCCAGGATTTTGCAGTTATCTCAGTTTTCTCAGGCACCCTTAAAGATACCTTCACTTACAGACAACAAGAAGCTGTCTGAGAAAAAGGTGCCCACATTCCCAAGAGTTTGGGTGTGGGAAGCTTTTGGTTATTTTGTGGGTCATGGATGTTTGCTATAATTGAGAGGACTATAGAAATAAAGGTTTAAAAGGCAACCATCAATCTCAGATGTTTTATATTGCCATTCATTTTGATATAGTGATACAAATTTAAAGTTATTTTTGTTATATTGTATATGCTCCTACTCTTGTTTGGTGTATTGTGTTTATGTCACTTATTTAAAAATGCAATTATTCTAATTATTTAAGAAACAAAGTTAGTAGTTAATCTATAGTAATCAAACTTGTAGTCACATTAGGTAGTTTTCAAGGTTAAACAGATCTATTTTAGACAGATGAATTTCAAATATTTCAAAGACCTACAGAATATGGAATTTAAGATGTTTAATAAACTAATATTTTTCACGACAATGACACAGATCTGATGGGCATCAATGAAAACTCCATATGGAGTCTGCTTTCAATGTGACAAGGGTAGCCATTTGGGCAAGAACATTTTTGTCTTGACTGTTTACAGTATGCTGTATAAACTGGACATGCAGATACACAGGAAAGTGACTTTTGAACTTTCCTAAAATGAGTCAGGACTGTCTTCAAAATTACTGCTTCACAGAAATGTCTAGCAGACATTCTGCAGGATACATATGAGAGTGACTGCTGAACTATCCCAAAACAAGGTGGGACAGTTTTTCAAATTTTCTGCCTCACTTAAAATTCAGTCAGATACTCTAGGCCTGTAGGTTGAAGATGGATGCCCCAAGGTTACAGATGAACTTTGGGTGACTCTCTAGACAGTCAGATGTATCTGTTAGGTAATAGTAAATGCTTCTGGAGCCTTTGATGTAGTTAAATAGTTGCAGTTTTTCTTAGTTATGATTCAAAGTAATTTAGGTATGAAACTTTAGACTCACTAAGCTAGGATAGATAATGAAGCATTTTCTCTAAAATTGTCAGACACAAATGGACTGAATATTGTAAATATAATTCTTATTTGATAACTGTTTTTGTTG